GCCTTTGCTTTTTCAATGCATTCATCATACTCCCCACAACGAAAAGCTTTCACCCTCTTGGATCTTTCAAGGTTATACCAGTCCCTAAATCAATAAGATCAAGATCAGACTATGTTCATAAATCAATATTAAGCTAAACGCCTATACAAGGAGTTTTAAATTTGTTTCGAAAACAAACTTTCCCATAACCCTGAATCACAACGACTAAATATGCCTTGAAAACGGTAAACCAAAACCTCTATCAATGATTCGAGACCCACAGCAAGGATCTATTACTGTTAATGTAAAACAATCCAGAGAGTACAAATATTATTTCCTTGGTAATTTTCCCTCATGTATGAAGCCCCAGTCTAATCAACCTACAAAGCCTCAAGCTTCAGCAATGTGCCTTACAAGTACCTCAAAATCTAATGCTCTTCTCTTCAAGGGAAAATCTCTATACATCACTACAGTACCACATAACGGAAATAATGTTCCAGTCCAGCAGTGCCCTATTCTCACTGTTTGAATTCCCCACATAAATTAACTCCATAAAGTGCTCATGTAAGGCTATCTCAGATATAATGACATTAAAGATTGAATTGTTCCAGAGTCACAATTAAAATCAAGCCCTAGTTTTGTTATTTCAGAGCATGAAATAACATTACATCCTTTCACTCCTCTGTCCTAGTAATAATCAGATCTGAGAATTAAACCATAGATTAAGACTCTCATTCTCCACACATTAGGCCCCTAAAACTAGGGCCCAACAGAAGAAAAGATCAAGATGATAAAAAACGCCTGAAGTGAACCATAGCAAGACATTTTATGATATATTTGTTGCCACAAAACCACAATCTCCAACTTAATATTTATCCTTTCCGTGCAAAAAAATTTCCTCTTGAATTATATCCCTTTTTCCTGTAAAATTGTGTAAAGAGAGCATTTTCTTCTTGCATCACAAACAGTAGTTATCCATACATCACATCACAAACTTGTTCAAACTTTCAAAGGTTATTTTCCAAAAATAATCTTACAAGAATGTATTCTCAAGCTTCAAGCCTACCATCCTTTCCTTTTTATTGGAACCACCAACCTACCATCTAAGCAAATTTTTTTTTGCAGAGAGAATGCATCTATTCTGACTGCGTAGTGTTATAATGCACAAGGGGCACATAGTAGGTAGCAGAGAAAACTTAACTAATATCACAAGTAACAAATTCACACTTACTGTAAGTTAATCGACATCATTAGCTTAGTATATTTCAACCTATAAACATAGAGGAAAGAACAAACAAACAGTGAACGAAGTGAAATGATAAGCCAGTTGAGTTCAACCTTTCTTGAAACACCAAAGGAAACAACAATCCCTTAACCCAAACATTAAAAAAGAGAAATAAGAAGCGACAGTAAACAAGCAACGCTAAATCCATGAACCCATAAAACCAAATCTCTCCCCCAACACCACCTATGAAAATCTTAAGCACAAGGCATTTCCAAGTGTGATAAATCCAGTTACACAAAAATGTAAATCTACTTAATCGAAAATCTGAAAAACAAAGACGGTAAGACAAATTCAAATCAGAAAATGAAGCAGACAACCGCGTAGGGCTTTAAAACGAAAAAAGAAAGCACTCACACGCTTGCGTCGTCGCGGCCCAGAAGCTTCACCGGGGTGCCCGATCTCGGAGAAACCGCAGAACTGTCGGGCAACTCGTCCAGACCCATTATCCGACCGGGCCACCACGACCCGTTTCTGCGTCGGACCCAAACCAACCCACCCACCGACGCATCAATGCTCTTGTTACTAGTCTCACTAGAACTCCCCATCTCAACCATACCCACCAGAAAGAGATAAAGAAAAAAAAGAGTTGAAACCCAATAAAACTCTGATCTCAAAAATGCAAAATTTCAATATCCGCCTTCCATTCTGAACCAAACACGAGTTTTGAATATCGCCCAGAGCCTCAGTTTCACGGAAAAATGCATAAACTCTCAACCTAAATCACTATAAATTAAAAAGAAAACCCATAAAAAAATTAGAAAATTTTAAATCTGCATGCAACACAAACCCCAGAAACAAACAAGGAACATCCAGAAAAATTAGGAAATTTTTATATCAAAACCCAAGAGAGAAGAAAATGAGATAGAGAAGGAGGGCCTAATATGAAGGGTTTATGGAGAAAAGAACACACAGAGGGATCTAAAAATGATGTTTTACAAATATTTTATATTTTTATTTGTTTTCTGGGTGTGGTTTTCTGATCTTCCACTAGTGGATTTAGCTTTGAAATCTTTTGTTCAAGCTCGCTTGTGTGGGTCTGAGAGTGTACGGACACACAGAGAAGAAAGGGGGAAGATAGAGAAATATGAAAAAAAAAGCTTTGTGTTTGGATCAAACCCGCAACTTTTTGGTATCTTTTTTTTTTTTTTCAACACAGAGAGAGGTTCTCAGATATGAGAGAGAGAGAGAGAGAGGGGTTGCAAGTGAGGTAGAGAGAGATACAGAGAAAACAGAAAAGAGAGAAGACACAAATGAGTTATATACGGTTTGTTAGGTTTCAATACCATGTCAGCTGAGAGGTCTTGAAAGGAGGACCCATACTTAATGATGTATCGTAATTTTATGATACAAGTGTTATGTTATTTTGTTAGACTGTCAATTGAAATCGTAAATTTTAAAAAAAAAAATTGATTAATAATCTATAATTATAAGTTTCACAATATATATATGTTATTTTGTTAGACTGTCAATTGAAATCGTAAATTTTAAAAAAAAAAATTGATTAATAATCTATAATTATAAGTTTCACAATATATATATGTCATACGACACTAACTTAGATTAGATATTAACAATTCATGCACATATGGTATTCATTTTTATTCCTTATGTATCTCAATATATTTCTATGTGACTTAAGGATTTAGCTATAATGTGATCATCAAAAGTTAGTATAGAGAAAGAATGTTTTTTTTTCCTTCAAACAACTCCACACGTTATCGTATCATGTTGTTATTTTGAACGGTTGATCATGTTATTTGATTCTACCCATACCGAATCATTAGATTGTGTTTGTTTACAATAGTTGTGAAAACGTATATAGTATAAGTTTAATTTTATGGATCCAAAATTATTGTGTATTCGAATAGTTTAGCAATGTATCATGTTAGATTCTTTCTACGTCGGCAATGAATGATATTAAAACATTACAAACTCTTTGGTTGCATTTGGTTTATGGGAAAGCAGGCTTGGGAATGAGAAATCAATTGCTTTCCCATGTTTGGTAAGTCCAGGCATAGGAAATGGTTGTCTGACACATGAGAAAATAAGAGGAAAATGTAACTCTTCTCCCCCCTTGGGTTTCATTTTCCCTCCTTCCTCCTTGAGTCAAAGTGGTAGATTCATGAGAGAGAGAGAGAGAGAGAGAGAGAGAGAGAGAGAGAGGAGGTGGATGGGTTGGTCGAGGAGTGTGGCGAGGAAAGGGTAGGGGACCGGTTGGCAACGGGGGGATAGGGGTTGATGTGAAAACCGAGGGTGCAAGGAATGATTGTAGGGTTCATTTAGGTTGTTTTGTTGCTTTAGGGTATTTATGTTGAGTTTGTTGGCTTTGTTTGGGATTATGCTTAAGTGTGTGGTGATGTGGCTTAGTAGATTTAGTGCGGCTTTTATCCGCTTTAATTTTGTTAGATGTCATATTGATGTTTTTGATTGTATTGTTGAAGTTTATCTAATAAAGTTTATTTTTTATCCAAAACACAATACTTAATATTTTGAAGGGGGTGTTGTATGCAATTAATCCTTGTAAGAATGATTTACAATTGAGCTTAAAGGTCCATCACGCTCCATTCCTTGCCTCAACTCAAGTTACACTGCTTGTCTACGTGTCTTCCTATATCATTTACATGTGGGTGCTTTGGATTTTATTTGAATTAGTCATTTTATCTAAAATCGTCTTCTAATACCTGTTTTCTTTATTTGCCTTTTCAATCTTTTTACCTTAATAGAATTTGATTCTGAAATGATGAAAAATTAAATCATAAGTTATCAAATTTGTAATATTGAGAAAGTTAATAATTATAATGAATTCTTTTTTTTATATATACAGATATTATAATGAATGCTTAAGTATTTTATCCTATAAAGTTAAGTTATTTAAGGTTAATCATCCTTGATAGAATATTTAGCTCCGTCACTAAGCATGCATCAACAACAACAAAAAAAGTGGTTAGCTAGTCTTTGTAAATTCATCCTTTTTTTATTTTTTGGCTCTGAATCACGAGGTGGTCTTGGATGGGCCCCAATTATGGGTGGCACCTTTAAGACTTAACCACAACCCAGACTAATCCCCGTTCACACCGGGTCGGCCCATAAGGGGTAAAATGCTGGCCAAAGTGGTGATTCCATACGAGAGCAGGGATTGAACCCCTAACCTCTCTTAAGGAATGAGAGTGCCGAACCACTCACACCAACCACCTTGGTTTGTAGATTCATCTTTCACTATGGTGTATTCGTCTATTTATTTGATCAAAGTTATATAAATAAATAATGTTTAATTTGATTAGTTTTCCGCGAGAATTATCAATAGATCACTAATTTAATTAGAGGAAAAGGTCCTTAAGTTAATCCTCATTCCTAAAAAATAAAATAACTTTTTTCAAAAAATATATATATATATATAAATTTCTGAATTAAAAATTCTTAGTTTGCATCTTTCAAAAATATCTTTATTTAGTTATATTTTAGAAATAAATTTTGGATGTAGATGTAGAAGACTAAAGAGGACACACCGACCCCGTTTTGGTGGTGAGATACAACACGGACAGGTATATATTAAAATCCCTACACTTGTCCCACATGCAGGCCAAGGGCCCCACCTTATTCATAGGATGACGTTAGGTCTTAGATGGACGGCTCTGATTAACTGATTGCTTCCTATTTTTTTTTGGTAAAGTACGACAATATTGCTTCCTATTTTCATAAACCGCATCATACGCTTTGTAAACAAAAAGATAAAATAAGAAAATAAGAATTTATAAACTTAAAATAATCGATAAGATAAGAAGAGCAAAACGCAGCGTCTCGAGTGACATAGGTTTTCTTGAGCTCGTGTAGTGTGGCTGATTTGGTTCGGAGACACCTCTGAGGAGCGAGAAGAGCCAAAATCAGACAAGCATATCAAGATCATGACGGGTAATTGATGTTAATTATACTCTTCTGCTAGTAAAGTTTGTTTCTTTATCGATTAGACGAACTAAGGGGTCTCGGTTTAGAGATTGTTGTATGACTTTTAGCTGCCCAATCAAGCCTATATCTTCTAAAAATGTCTTATTTTTATGTTGTTTTGTAGCTTTGAAATTTAAAATTATGAAATCTATTGATTGTTTACTTGGTTGTAGTTTGTTACTGATTTTGGTGTTGTATACTGTTTTTTGAGGGAGACTACAAATACCCAGAAGCTTCAATGGAATGCTTGTTTGGTGATTAAAAAAAAAGTGCTTTTGTTTATTTGGCCAATTGTGGAGGTTTTAGGGATATGGGTTTGGTAGAAATGTGTGAATTTTATCAAATAATTATGGAAGTTAACTCATTTTATGTTTAAAGCTATGAAATTTACTTCACTGTATGTTTTAAAACTACGTATACAGACTATATACAAGAGCAGGAGATGGAAATTGAAGCGTTGGAAGCAATACTTATGGATGATTTCAAAGGTATGTGGTGCTACAGACCAACATTTGTCATGACTTTTTTTTAATCTGTTGTTGTCCAGCTTATCAAACATTAACATTTAATAGGAATTTTCTGTTCTGTTGTTTTTCTTTATACCAGAAATTCACTCGGGTGAGAGTGGGTTAAACACTTCCAAGAGGTGTTTTCAAATAAAAGTAACTCCAGTGGTAGGTATCTCTGTCTTTAGGCATATCCGTTACCTTTTCAATTCTAATGGCATAATAATAAATTAACCCCACGAGTAGCAAATGCAATATTTTTATAATTGTTGGACACACACTCAAAATAATTTATCGTGTTTCATACTTTCTTGTACTTTAGTTGGGTAAAAGTAGACTAGAGTAGTTAATCAGCCACGTTTACTGAGCTCCTTTGTCCATTTTAAAAGCAAAAAGAGTAATTCCTGTTAGTGGCATTAGCTTCCTCCTTGTACAAGAATGATGTGATTGACTTCTATCCACTTCCAAAAGCTCAGAATGGTAATGAAGTGTCCAGCTTTACATCGATGCATCACATTTTAGGGCATATAAGTTTTTTCACTGGATCACTTTTCACATTTTTGGGGCATGAAAGAAATTCCTTGGAACTTGCATCTTTTTGCTCTTTCCTTCATCCAAGTGTATTGGGGCGTGATCTCAAATGCCAGATGAGATTTTTTTAGATTCTTCAACAGATCATGGCATTTCGCATTATTGTGCGGTAAACAACTTGCTTCTCACCCCATATCTGGTGCCCATTTTTAGGATCGAGATTAGTGATATTTGAGTAGTTAATGTCCTAGCAGCACCCTGACACATCTTTTACTTGATTGTATTGGGAGCAGGGTTCATGTAGCTTGTCAGGGATGGGTGTAACCAGGAAGGAAGCATTTATGTCATTAGAAGTAACTGGATAAATCTACGGAAATATATTTTTACAATCAATTGCTGCTTAGATGCATTGAGGTGGTCGCTCGTGTAGAGCTTGCTTCTTCTCTAGAAATCTGCATCTTCCTGTCTAAATCTCTTTATGCATGTCAAGCTGAAAATTAATACCATCTCCCAAGACATATGTCACTTGACATGTAACTTTCCTCTTATGCATTTCCTCGCTTTCTTTTCAACAGGATGATGAGGCAGATGAAGTAACAACTGCTCCAGGTTATTGTTTTTGCATTATGATGTTTTGAAGAATGTCTTTTATTTAGGAATTTCACGAGTTCCCTTCTGTTTTTTCTTCTGGTTTTTGTAGTTTGGATCTTTTACATTACATTTGGACATAAGTTATTTTGGAAACTTCTGTTTCAGTTCAGCTGGCTTTGATTTTCTCACACACAGAAAGATATCCAGAGGAGCCTCCGCTTTTGAATTTGAACAGGTATCACATTCCCATGCATAACACTGTGCAAATTTGTACTATGCTATTCTCCACTCAATGCGTTCATGCAACTGCATATTATACAGACACAAGAAGTACTAAAATAAACCTAAAAGAAACTAAAAGAAGTTTGGAAAAAACTACTCTTGGGTCTTATGAATTCAATGGTACAAATTCATTTTGATGGTATCCCTCTTCTATCAACGTTGTATTGTTCAGTTAGATTAGTTCTGTTAGCATTGTGTTGTTGAGTTAGGATGCTGGAAAGTCAGAACTGTGAATGCAGGGTTGTTTATAAAGATATTGTTGAAGTTCCAACTAATAGTTGATCTTTTCCCTCCAGTTTACGTGGTATACAAGGAGAACATCTTAGAATTTTGAAAGAAAAGCTTCAACAAGAGGTAATTCTTAGGCACTCTTTATTGCTACATGCATTCTTTTGTTTTTTCCTTCTTCTAGGTCAGTCTACTGATAATTAAATAGGCAGCATATTTTGATCTGTACTGAGGTGAGGTGTAATACAACTCAATGAATTATCTGAGTTTATCCAAATAATTCTGATTTTGATTCAAAACTTATATTTGACAGGCATCTGAAAATCTTGGTATGGCTATGATCTACACACTAGTTACATCAGCTAAAGAATGGCTTTCTGAGCAATATTGTCAAGACACTAGTATTGAGGATGCTGAAGCAGAAGAAGCAGCAAAGGATGATGTATGGATTTTCTCCTCCTTCATGAATTCTAATCATCTTGTGGCTATTTGTTTTCTAAGTCCTTAACATAATGGAGCTTGCCTCCAAGAGTTCCTGGAAAACTATGAAATATCCCAAAACCTTGCAAACCTGTTGAATGCAATGTTTTTGGTAAATTGTTGAACGTACAATGCGTTGGTTATTTATCATGCTCCTATATCAGCTGTCTGTAGTTAAGTCTTGCTGAGGTTTTTATTTAAAATAGCTGGGAGATTTTTTTTTTTTTGTGGTCAACTAGCTGGGAGGAGTTATGTCATGAAATCTTTGAGGCTGTTAATATGAAACTGCTAGCTATTCTCTCTGTTCAAGAGAACAATCCTCTCCCATTCTCTTTGTCCTGGAGGAATGGTAGTTGAGTTGTGTATCTGGAAAGATGAAGCTTCTAGAAGATAATTCATACTTTTTAAATGTGTTAATCTTGTTTCTTCTGCACCCTGCATTTTTCCCTGTGATTTCAGCTGAACTTGATAATGAATATTTGTGAAAACTGCATAAGCAGCTTCAAACTTTCCCATGGGATTTATTTCTTATTAAAAAATGGTGTATGCGCTATTTGCATCTTTGATAATGAGCGTCTTCCTGAAAGACATGTCTTAAGAAGCTGCTTCACACTTTTCTGCTCACCTCTCTTCCTCTTTTAGGTAATTGTACCACATGGAGAACCTGTTACTGTTGAAACATTTCTGGCATGGAGAGAGATGTTTGAAGCAGAATTGGCACTTGAGCGAGCCAAGTGAGTTTTTTTAATTTATTTATATAATTTCAAAGTAAGGTTTTGTTTGGTTAACTCTTTGAAGTTTCGTTGTTATAAAGCATGTGAAGGTGGGGATAGTAATATCATTAGCTGATTGTAGGTGATACAAATGCTTTCCTTTCTGGTATCTTTTCACCAAAGAGTTAGATGTATAGGGGAAGAAGAAGCGTGTGACGGATTAAATTCATTTATTATGTTTCCCACTTGTACTTTAGGCCCTTAGGTTGTACATGATAGATATATGACATTAGAGAGGGAAAGAAGGGAACCTGGGTCTTGGTTTAGCAGGTAATGCGGTGGTACGATTGGGATCCGTGGTTGGTTCAAATCCTACTGTTACAAAATATTCTTTTTGAGAAAGCAATGACAGTTCATAAGCCCTTTGACTGAGACTTCCCAGTCAAAAAGGAAAAAAGAAATTCAAAGGAAAACTTTCTTGAAAGTTAATACTTTCCAAATAGTAGATCATAGATGTATCTTTGCGTGTGCCTTTATTTTTATTTCTAACAGATGGTGATTGATTTCCAGGTTAATGCCTGAGGCTGCGCTTTCAGCACCCAAGGAAAAGAGGCTCACAGGTAGACAATGGTTTGAAAGTGGAAGACATGCTGTGGTAATTTATTTCCCCCCTGATTCTACCTTGCTCTCACATTGGTCAGTTTTGCACAAAACAAAAACCAGTATGTACAATAAAATATGTACTGGTTTCATGTTGTAAACATAATACAAGTGAAAATTGTTGGCTTATTACACTCTTACGCCAAAAGAATTGCAGCATTTTCTTGTTGGCACATATAATGGTCGTTTTGCAAAGAATAAACAATAAAATAGGTGAATTTTTCTCTCCTCCACAGAAAGGAGCAGCCCCAGCCACTGAAGGGTCTGATGAAGAAGATGTGGAAGACATCGACTTCGACGATGATGATTTTGAAGGTGATTCTCTCTTCTCTAAGCCTATTTAGTTTAATGTTGATAATACTAGAACCATAGTCGGACTGCCTAATTTTGTATACATGGATTAGGCTGATGAGTGTTTTTGTGTTCCAAATCTGATGAAGAAACCCTCTTGTCTTGTGGTTAATGGCAGATGATGAAGACGATATGCTTGAACATTATTTGGCTGAGAAAACCGACTCGTCATCCCACTCTTCCAAGAGAGAGACTAACTAGAGCACCATCCAATGAAGTATGCGCCTGCATTTGGCTTTGTCTTCATATGTATTTTGCGCCTGGCTTTAGGCGTCGAGGACAAATAGGACATGTGGTTTTATGACTACCATTATTTTTTGTAGAGAGCTGAGAGAAGAGTGGATTTTGCAAAAAGGAAAATAATTGGAAAACTTGTCTTTTAGGTGTGAATCAATATTTGTCATATTTATAGTCTTGTAACAAGTATCGATTGTAGATACATACAATATTGTTTTCGTATATTTTTATTTACAATTTTGATCTTGATTTTATACACATTTTGCTTATGTTATATATTTGCAACAAGAGAACACGAGGGTTGTTACCCCATGGATTAGCATCAGTGGTATCAAGAAAATCAATGGTACGAAAATTAACCCTACCATGCCAGATAAAAAAGAAGAAAAAACATGAAATTAATTAATACTGCCGTTCTCATTGGTCGAAAACCTGAATAATAGAAACTTTTAACATATTATTAGAATTTATTTCCAATCTCAGTCACTATCCAAAATATTCCACAAGGCAAACAAGTACTTTATGAAGTGCTCCCTGCTATGCACATTGAGGCCCTTCCTATCCTACCACTGAGCTACTACACAATTTTCACTTGCACTGCCTATTATAATTTATCCTTATCCCTTTTCCATGTCAGGGCTATTACAACATTACATATTATGTTACAACGGAATCTGCTATATCTCAAATACCACCTTGATCTTGAAATCAATATGGTAAAGCTGGTAAAGATCTACAGCTTGCAACGGAGAACCGCATGCATGTCTCGAAACTTCGTTCATCGTTGATGACACTGATCAGCTTTTGAGGAACATGCAAATAATTGTACAATTTTCTTCAGTTCTATACACATCCTTGATCGGTCATGGCTTGAGCAAGAGTCAGAAAAGCAGAAATGATAGCTCCATGTACCAAAGCCCTGTCAAGCACGTAAAATGGCACATGATATTAAGAGAGTTCAATCTTATGGGAGCAGTGCAATGACGAACCATTAATCAGTCCAGGTACTGACAACATAATTAACAAACCATTGCTCGTCGCTGTTTAAAAGCCAGTGTGCATTTTTTATTTAATAATTAACACAAAAGGCACCAGGCACTATATGCACAGCAGTAAGACTAATTGGTTTCAGAAAACAGTATTCTCATGACAACACTAACAGGAAAAGCGAAGGCAAGTGTCAATATGATAATGTACTTACTCAGGACTTTCTTTCTGGTAACCAAAATCAGCTGCGGCTTTGAGGCTTCTCTGATAAGTCTGTTTCATTGCTTCCTGAGAGTTACAAATACAAAGGAAATCAGAAATCATTTAAATCAGAAAATTTAATGAAAAGAAAAAAAAAACCAGCTCAAGGCCTTCGAGTAAACTTTAAGTTGAACAATGAAAGGGTGTTCACAATTTAGCTTTTCTAGAGGATATTTCTCATACTACTAGAAGTCATTAAGACAGACTCTTTTAGTTCCTCACAACTCCAAAATATGAGAAACGGAATGCGTGGCTTTTAAAAACTGCTCCAACTACTTACGGAAAAAGGTTATACCAACATGATAGAATATAGAGAGCCTCACCTGTAATTTAGATTCAAAGTCCTCGGGGGACCAGTTCACTGAATTACACTCGTGGTTCAATTCAAATTCTCCAGCCACCACCTGCTACCAAGCAAACACAGAGAACATAAATTGAAAGGGAAATGAAAGAAGTAGATAATCAGAAGCCATACTGATATAAATATTTGATATGATTAACTCATGCTGTTTCGTCAAATGCCTGAACAAAAATAAATTGCTTTTACTTCCCACATGTTCTCCCAGTGCCACTTCCTTAAAAACCAGATGTTAGATCTTGAACCTGTTAAAATTGGAGAATTCAACCCAAAACCAACCGACAACAAGTGGAGGAACATGATTTTATAAATTAGATGCAACCCGATGTTAAATTTTTATGTTCAATACTCCCTCCACTCAGCTAAACATGTGAATCAGTTATATTGGGTGATGTTGAACATGCACGTCAATGGATTGCCCCCTCTGATAACATGTTATAGCCAAGGATAATGGGTGGATAGGTTCATGATTTCACATATTGAGATGAATGGATTAGAATACTTGATGTGAGATTCTCATATTCTTAAACCATTAATATTGAATGATAAGCCCATGGGCTGCTGAATTTCTTTTTTTTTAACTTTTGGCCTGAAGAATTCCATATTATTTCAGAAAAACAAACAAGCTTGGCTTGAATTTAGCCTAAATTCGGACCAAATAGAAACATGAGAAGAATAAATTTCACAATAGCAGCATTGTTCCAGCACATATTAAAATTATATCTATCAAGCATGAATTGGAAAGATAAGAATCATACTCCACCAGCACCAGCAGCCACTGCAGGAGCAATTAGAACATTAGCTTTTCTCAGAATATCAACAGCATCAGGTGTACAGGGCATGTTTGAACCTAGATACAAAATAAGAACGACAATAATGGTGATACGGTGTTAAAATAAGTGAATACAAAAACAAAAGGATAAGAAATAAAAAGTGAGGATGCATGTTGTCACGAGTAATTACTACCTTCTACTAGTATACGACAACCTGAATTAACCAGACTAATGGCGTCAGACTGATCAATTTCATTCTGTGTAGCACAAGGAAACGCAACATCACACCTTTCAGTCCAAGGTTTCGCTTCATCATAATACTTAGATCGGGCATAAGTCTTTGAATAATCTCTGCAAATGCCACATGTAGAATTAATGAAACCTGAAGGTAACTATAAGTCCACATAGCAATTTCACAAACAGATGGAAAACAGACGGCAAGAAACACATACCTCAAACTTCTATTTTGCGCTTTGATCTCTCTCAAAAATGAGATTTTCATATAATCAAATCCTTCCTCATCCACCAGATAACCCTTTGAATCTGTGCAATAGTTTTGCAGATAAAAGGCATGTAAGCCATAAGAACTGTCAAAACCTAATAAAATACTGCTATTCTTCTTCATATCTTTTCTCTTTCTTCAGATGCAATGAGAACGCTAATTCATTTCTTATTTCGATCCCAACTCAGTGACAGATGTTAATCATACCATCTTTACAATATAAGATACAAAACCAATCATGTCCAAAGAAGATACAAACAAATTGACCACTAGCAATCTATGGTTCTAACTTACGTGTTATGATCATTGTTGAAAACAAGATTGTTCTCGTAGATCATTCATGACTCGCGTACCTAATAGATGTGATCACATCAAAACATAATAAAACGTTTGACCTTCTTAGCAAGTAAATCATATCAGAGTAAACTTGGTGGAGTAGGCATAGCATGGATAAGAGAAGAATTCTGCTTATGGAAGCCCAAGGTTGATTCTCCTAATCATAGGCTATTGTCCAAGAACAGGTGTCCATGACAGTCAATTATTAGTACTTTCACTTTTCTTCAAGTTTCTTGTGTTCATTATTCCCTAATTTCTGCAATTGCTGGTTCTGGGACATTGTTTTATCTTATCATTACTTGAGTTTAATATGGCCCATGGTTTTATCATATTAGTACACGAGTCTAATCAAATAATGGGCCTTTCTATGTGGCCTCCTGAGAGTTTACTAGTCCAGTTAGGAGTTTGTTTGAGTCTTGACCAATCCAACAAGGAATATACCAGCCACATTAACAATCCATTGGCAGGTTTCTGAAACTGTCCACATCAAAACTACATTATTATAATCACATATAAAAATTAGCTTTTGGTGTTCTCAAGATTGATCTATCATCTATGGCCACCACAGCAGAAGTAGGAGGTTTATTGAGCTATAGCCAGGATATCAGGATAAGTACTACAAAGTTCAATATTATTGTATTCCATCACTTTCAGTATCAAACTGCCAAATAGCTGAAGGTTCTTGCATGCTGCTCTGTATAAATAAATAAATAAATTATAAAAATAAGAAAAGAAACAACAAACTTCTCACAAGCACCTGTAAGCAGAAATGCCACCAAATCAAGATGTTGAGAGTAAAAAATAAATAAACTGCAGTGGATTTCCTCCTTTTCAGCGCACTCTATAGTCTATGATTCTACGTTTGATGCATATTCAGCACTAGCACTTACCAAAAATTTTTACCTCTTCATTATACTAATATTAATCAATCAGGCCAACAGCATTATGATTAAACTGTAGGCACCATTCAGTGATCTAGTATGAATACATAAAAAATTTCTATGACGTGACATAAGTAGTTCCAAAAATACTTGTTTAAAAGAAAATACCAGAAACTGTAATGGGAAGAGCACCATATGCAATAAGCTTCTCCAGGACATGCAAAGCAATCTTTCCTGAGCCGCTCACAACACACCTGGAGAGATTCATACAAGCATCTTCAACATTATAGATTTGCAAAACAACCTTTAGACAGTCAATTACAAATTTTACATTTTAAGGTCTCCCTCTCTCTCTCTCTCTCTCTCATGAATAGACACATATATACCCACAAGCCTCTGCATGCTTTACATCATCTTCATAAAATTGAGCATACACAATTTCTCATATTTACATGAAATATAATAGTTATCAAGTAAAACATAAGGATTGAAGTCTTCATAAGGCTACCTAAACAGAAAGAACTCACATGCGCTGTTCTAAGTCAATATCCTAGAGTGTTAGTATGCTATGTAATTGACTATTAAAAAAGTTTAAGTAAAGGTACCTTAATCCTTTGAAATCTTTATTCAGGTCTGCAAGTAGGAGCTGTGCAAAGAAAACCTGCAGAAGCATGGGAACTTTGTTAACTTCAAAGGAAATCAAGATGAAAAAGGAAACAACGAGCATGGGAGAGTTGTGATATTAGTTACCAGCCCATATCCAGTCGCTTCAGTTCGAAGGCTAGAACCAGACCAAAATATCCTTGGCCCTGTAAAACTTCCCTGCATAAGTAAGGCATACATATGAAAAAATAAAGACATTACTTAATGTTCTTCCCATGAGAAACACATAAGCAGAAACTTGACTTTTGTATGGACAGAAAAGAACACTAAATGGATAAAGACAAATCACTTAATTTTCTTCTCACGATAAACAGATAAGCAGAATCTAGACTTTTGTACGGATAGAAAAGAACAATAAACTTTGTCGGGATAGAAAAGAACTACCATGTACTTTCTAATTTAATTACTGTTTTTGGGATGGAAAAGAACAATAGACTTCATCGGGATAGAAACAAACAATGGACTTTGCCAGACCATGAGAATCGCAAACATATGAAAACATAAAGACATTACTTAATGTTCTTCCCACGAGAATCACATCAGCAGAAACTTGACTTTTGTATGGACAGAAAAGAACACTGAATAGATAAAGACATATCACTTAATTTTCTTCCCACAATAAACAGATTAGCAGAATCTTGACTTTTGTACAGATAGAAAAGAACAGTAGACTTCGTATGGATAGAAATAAAAAAGAATTATAAACTTTGTAGGGACAGAAAAGAAAACGGGCTTTCTAATTTAATTACTAGTTTCATCCTTCCCAATACAAAGCAAAAGGAGGCAAATATTCATTGTTTTGTTTCTGTACCCCACAAATTTATGAGTACTCTAAACGGATCGTGGACACAAATTCACTGTTTTGCTTCTGTACCCCACCTATTCACTATTTTCTTTTTATGACAGATATTTCAGCAATATATTTCAATAAGCACCCTCTTGAACTTCACCGCAAATATCATCCTCAATTAATTGGACATTCCATACATGGGAGTTGCAAGAATAAAATTTCCATAAATGTTGGGTACATTTGGATATAAATGAGTACTCTAAATGGATCAGTGGGCAACGTGTCCTCTACTTTGTAACTTTCATCTTTTCTTTTAATAAGACCATGCTTTCTGTATTTTTTTTTCTTTTCTAAAAAGAACATTTTTCCGCTCTAACACAATTAACACGTTCCTCATGAATCATGATACAAGTTACACATGCCTCTCAGGTACTAATTTATATCCACAAAAGGCAAGAAGATATATTCAGAAATAGTTTGTTACCGGTGTTTCTGGTACCTGAAAGTGACCAGCTAGACGTCTATATTGTCCGAAGAGATATCCCATCTCCCGAGTACCAACACCCATCTCCTCTGAAGGAAGGTCCTAAAGTGTATACAGCATTAAACCAGACATGCAGGATAAACCATCGCATTTCCATATATAGAAGTAAATATTTATGGAATGAATTCTTCCTGAAGTTACCTTGTCAATACCCAAATAGCGATACATCTCATTCATAAAACTTTGGCAAAAACGCATAACCTGCCAGCTTAGAAGACAATCATTCAGAACTCCTGAGAAGGCTACTAGAGACCACATATAACAGAATGAAGATTTTACCTCATTATCACTTTTTCCCTTTGGATCAAAATCACTACCGCCCGCTGCCCCTCCGATTTTATATGGTGACAAGGCATTCTTTAAAGTCTGTAGAGAAGGGAAATAGCACAATGTAAAGCAGTCACAAGACTTAAAGTCACTTCCAATCTGAAATTTTTTACCTAGTCACTAGTATTTATTATTAAATTTGGTGTTCTTATGAACACCTAGCACTTGGATACACAAATCCACAGAGGGTAATGATGAAAAAATTTGGCAAAATTTAACACGAACTTCGACACTAACCAACCTACAGAAGATAAGTCAATTAACAAGAACTCCAAAAACAACCAATACCTGTTCAAATCCAAGAAACTTGGTAATGCTCAAGGTCATAGAAGGATGAAACCGGAAACCACCCCTACATGGACCCAAGGCCTGGTTAAACTGTACACGAAAGCCTCGGTTAACATTTGTCTCACCTCTATCATCCACCCATGGAACTCGGAAAACAATCATACGCTCAGGTTCTAACAAGCGCTCCATGATGCTTACATAACTGAAACAGTTTAGAGCCACTTGATCAGATTTTATATGAACCTGAAAAAAGACTTTATTTTCTTTAAATAGTGTGCCATTAGGTAACTCACTGTGAATTTTTTGCAATCACTCTTTCTAAAGCATGAACTACTTCTTGCAGCGATTGTATGAACTCAACCTCATGAGGATCCCTTTTCAGTGCAGCTTCAACGATTGATCCAGCCGTTTTTGACATAAGAGCTACATTTTAAGAGTAATACCAAAGAAAAACCAGCCAAACAGGAAAACTAATTAATAAACTAATCTCATCATTTCTTTCTTTCAATCATGAGAAGGTATAAAATATATGCAAACATCGATACGTTAAAGTTTAACTAAAACTCCATATAATGCCGGAAGAAGTACATCGGTGTACGGTCATGTGTATCTTACATAAGCCCCCTTATAACTTGGCGAATTGCAGATGGTCAATATTTGTTTAAACTTTCAAACCATACCCATACAAATAGAGCATAATGTACTAACCTTTGACATAAATGGGTTTGTCAGCAATGATCTTATCCTTGGAAGCCATTTGAAGGCGAAGTGCCTCTTTGTGAAGCAAACTATTGTTGTGTTCCTCAAGTGCACTCATCTGCATATTCCGGCTACCCTCATTTCCATAGGGGTTTCTTCTATGCTTCCGGCCATACTCCCTACACACAGAGCAAAAAATCCTAGCCGTCCCTTCCTTGACATCAACATAAGCCCATTTGTAGGTATCTGCCCATTCCTCTCTCCATCTTTTCACAACCTTTTTCTTCCTTTTTACTGGTTGTCCCTTTGACATATCTTGGTCATCACTAGGGAGTTGAGAAACCATTACCATATTCTTGCTTTCATCATGATCCTCAGCAGAAGGTTCTCGTGGTGGACCACCAATGAGGGGGGTGTTAGCAAATGCAGGATCATCATCCCCAGGTCCAATTTCTAAATCAATCTCTTCTCCAAGCTCCCGAACCACCAAGTGATGCCTCTGTGCCTGCTGAATCAAATTCATATCATCCATCATGGAATTCATCCCTAATCCACCACCCGGTAGCAACATTCAGCATGACAATCTTAACTGAAACCTGAAATCCTGCACTAACCGTTTGTTAACATGGATAAATTTATCTAACTCCATTTACAAAATTATCTAAAATTGATAAATTAGAAAACAAAATAATTTCAGAGAAGATGATAACTAAAACAATTAGAAGAATCCTAAGACATCACCTTCATTTAAAACCTCTAACGCAGCAAAACCTTATAACGCTAGTAGCCACCAAGTTGAGGTTTACGTAAAATAAGGTGTGAATTAATATATAGCATGAAATCTTCTATTTATATTTTTCAATTATCCTTATTATCTTATACTCAATAGAAGAGTGTAAGTGTACAAACTTAGTTTACAATACTCAGTTTCTCATACAATTTAGAATTTGTTCCCCGCAAGCATTCCTTTGTATTTCCAAGGTAAGGCAAGAAAAAGCCTTTTGTAAATCCTATAACTTCCACTACAGGGGAAACGAAAAACTCCACCGCACTGAGACTAACACAAGCATAACTTTGATAACAGTTATGACCTCCTAAAAGCCAAAACAACAAGAACCAAAACATCAATTATCTAAACATCAGTTTTCTCAGCACCCTTAGGAACTTTCTAAACCCCATATAAAGTAACTGCCCATCGAGTATTAATCATTCAATTACGGCCAAAATACATCCATTGCACCTAAAATCCAAAATCACTTACGACTAAGGAGTTCTTAGAGAAGAATAAAAAACCCCAGAAAACAAAAAAGCAACAGTATTTCATTTCTAATCATTGCCAGAAGTTATTTTTTTCGGAATTCAATAACATCCATACGTTAATTGTCAATTTTGAAGAATACCCATAACTTAGAAATCAAAATATCCATCAAGTACCGTGAGTACAGACGATGAAAACGATGAAAACGATGAACTTGAACGTTTCAAGTTGCAGTTTCAAACTGGTCCCTTGAGCAGTTGCTCTTCTCCAAAGCTGGAACCTTTATGCAAACGGTTGTGGAAATTGTTGACGAAGATGACACAGAGAGTGAGATCAACACGTCTGGATAGTCGGGCTCTTGTTCGATCAGATTTTTCAGTGACGAGAAGAGATTGTATGGTACAACAGTATGTAAAGGCAAGAAGAAATAAAAGAGAAAGCTTTTATAAATATATTTGAGAGATATAAATATATTTGAGAGAGAGAGTATACAAGTGGGGTGAATTTCATTTCTTAAACTGCAATTATGAGTGTGCAAATGTTATTATCTTAGTGGATGGTTACTTCTTCTCTGTGGCGCGCGTGACACGCGCTCTCTTAATAAACCTTTTTCTCCTTCTTTTTCTTTTTGTAGGACAGTCAAAATTCGAAAACTAGTGGTTTGGAGTAATTACTCTCATGTAAAGTCATGGGGTCGAGTCTTAGTATATGTATTGTGTGTGAGTTTAGTATATTATCGCTTCTCTCAATAAGAAAAGTTCCATAAAAAAAAATTTCAGACAATTTTTTAAGAGCAAATTATGATTTCGTAAAATATTTGAAGACAAATTATGATTTCGTTTGTAAGTAAATTTTAGCGGACAAAATCTAGATTACACAAAAAATCTAGATCCACAATTTTCACATATGAGGTGTTTGACATCCAATTTGCTTTCACATCCGTCACTAATTTAATTTTGTCAAAACAATGTCATTGTCTTTCAATCTTTTATTAACTACTAATCTTTTTTGTTAAAAGAAAAACCATTTACAGAAAAGTTTTATGCTTTCTTATCGCCGACAAGGGAGCCAATCTCAAAGGACATTCAATGACAGAAATTTGACAACCGTCACCATCTTTGTTTCTGTTGTTGGCGGTGACAAAGAAAACACAGCACCAACAAAAGCATATCCATGAATAATAGAATTTGAATTTCACCATCCAAAAAGGGTGAATAATAGAATTTATCTGCATGAATCCTATCAATGATTTAGTCTTATTTGATTCTCTACTTGAGTTCTTCCCACCCAATGTATGTATGATACACAAATATGCACATAAAGCACAATATCAAGGAGCCCAATAAACCTAATAGGCTGAATAGGTCAGGCAAAACAAAAAACAAAAAGCCGGACCTGAGTACAAAAGTAATATACACAAAAATCAAATAGTAAATGTTATGTACGGATATACTAGGTAGGCACAGCCAAAACCCTACGACACTCAACAGGACATGGACATTTATCTCCAAATAAAGGACTGCGTTGTGCGTTGATCATATCCATCTTCACCCTCAGGACCTGAAGGAAGAGGCTTCAATTCTAGTGAATGAGGATGAGATTCTCTCTTCAGTCCTTCATATATGAGACTGCAAAGTCTTTAATCCTTTGCTTAAGGTGCTGCAGGCAGACGAAACATATTCAGAATAATCGTACAAAAAGATGTGTTCAAATAAATAACTAAAAGGTTAAAAGCAAATGAAACAATCAGAGCATGACTAAGTCCAACTACATAGTGGTAACAAGTCAAAGATGGAGGTGGATGGGGTTGGGATGAATTACCTTCAATTCTTCATGAAGCACCACAAATATTTTTTTCAGCCTCTTATGTCTCTGCAAGTGACATTATTAATTGAGTCAAACCGAAAAGCTCAACAAGATAAAGTTAGTTATTATTTGAAGAAAAAATAAACCATAAATGCTAAGTTTAAAGTATTGGGAGAAATTGAAAACAAAAAAAATCCCAAAGCGCTTTATGTATTGCAAATACTCAAGAAAAATAGAATCAGAGGTAAAACAGTATCTACACTAATATTTGAAATATATAAATACCAGCAACACAATGTTAACTATTTTATATGACAACATTATTTTGATCAAATTTTTCCTTACTCACCAATTAGTGGATTAATCCCAAATCTGGTGGCTTGTTAGGGTAAATTGTTCTTCAAAACTTGTATATGTACAAGAACGAATTTAGAGTTTGTACAAGTTCGAAACAGAAAAGCTGCAGGAAATAGTACAGCGAAATAATTTTTATTCTTATCATATCATCCTTAATTTTTTAAATTGTTTTAGTTTTCCATACATTGCAATAGTCATTAACATTCACAAAAATCAGCCACTACAATTTCTAATAACTATTTTCGGGTATTGTTATTCATCATTCAAGAGGTACACAGGTGTAAATAATTGGATTCCACCACAATATGCTCAGGCGTATATGTGTAGTGTTGAAGTTAGAAGAGTGCATTGATCTGTAAAATTTTCACTGATATATCTAAGAAGCTAAATTTGAAGGCATGCAAACAACACTGAGCAAAATTATGAAAACAAAATAAGCGAAACTGAAGTTACATAATCAAAACAAGAAAACAGTGAGACAATGTCTTGCTGAATTAGTTCACATTTCAAGCATCAAGTACAAACTGGTAGTGCGAAAGGTATTTAGAAAACCAGGAACAAGGCATACCGTTCCACACTGACGATAGGATTCCTTCAGCTGCCCCAGGATGTTATAATGTCTATCTGTGCCTGTAGCATAGTCAAGGTCTTTCCCTAGCTTCTGGAACTCATTCCTACATTTAGCAGGAATAAATTGTTTTGAGATGCACAGGTTTGAACGAAATCAACATAAATCCATTAATTAAACAAGTAACAATAAATAAGAAGCAAAATTGCCTTTAAAAAGATGAAAGGAATCTTCAGATTACCTGTAACTCTCTAGGATCTTGTTCAACGAGCAATAGCTATCATACTTATCACGATATTCTTTCACGTATTCTTTGTACCTAAGACAAGAAAAACAAAAAATACAAGGTAAGTCAGATGACAAAAACAGAAGTAAATACAACAGGGCCAAAGCATGGTTAGATTAGTTTCACTGGTAGAAACGCTTTATGTTCACTTACTGAGAGAAATCTTTTATTGGTCCCTTCAGCTCAGGCTCAGTCTTCTCATACTTAGAATAAGAACAACTATTCTCATCTGAAGAAGAATCCCTTTTTCTTCTATCACTGTCATTGCCTTCTGCCAGCATTGAATCCTTTCGTACATCAGCAGAATCCACCATCATATTGGATGCCTGTCTTTTACTTTCTTTTATGGTGTGGGAAACTAGACCTCGTTTAGAGTCATACTGCTGAGCAGCATTTGGGGTTGCTTTTTTATTGCTTTCTCCATGTCCATCCACACCAATCACTTGTCTACCTCCAGCTTCATTCTGCCTAGATTTACTACTAAGATCTACTGATTTACTAAATGGGCGACCCACATCAGGTTGATCTACTCGTGAAGGGTGTTGCGACTGGGATTGCACAGCTCTCGGTTGAGACCTTGTTAAATCCTCAATGCGATCTTCATAGTTCCTCTTTTTATTTGAGCCTTCCTGATTACTAGGAAACTTAGAGTTTAAATCTGGTGAGAATGGCCTTCCCGAATCAAAAGTTGCCTTTCCTGCAGGTTTCACTTTACTAAAATCAGAAACCCAGTTTTCTGAAGTGCTCGTTTTGTTGTCTGACTGCTTAAATGAACTTTTTCTTTCGAACTGCTTCTTAACTGTTGTTTCCTCAGGCAAGGGCTCACGAAGTTCACCCAACTCCAAGTCTGAAAACTCTCTTTGGAGTTTACTGCCTCTACCATTAACAACAGGAGATCCGTCTGCACCATTTCTGCTGTTATCCTTTGGTGAAGAACCCAAGAACAGGCTGGAAACCTGTCCACTCCCCTTGACCTTTCCAGCCATATCACCATGTTTCTGGTAGTGGGAGTCCAAGGGCACTGATTGTTTGCCTCGGATACCACCTTCCTTGGAATTTCTTGGAACCTTTTTCTCATTCACATAACCCTCCTCATTTTGATTATCTCTATGAAATTTATCTTTTTGTAGGGGTAAACCTTCATGCATATGAGAGCTCCTTTCAGAATACATTCGGCCATGCCCTAAACTCTCGGCATATCTATCAGGTCTTTCTGCTGGATCAGGAACCTTTGCCTGTGGATTATGATCAAAGGACTTCCGACTTGATTGTTTAAACTCGGAACTATGTCTCCCAGAAGATGATTGGTTGCATGCCCTTAGAGAGCCAGATTCAGTATTCCCACCCCTATCAGCTCTATTCATCGCTTGAGAGACAGGGTCTTTATGAAAGCCTTCAATGAGTCTATCAGGAGACAGATTGTGAGAAGCTTCTGGAAAATGGACACCTTTACCCACAGAAACAGGAGGTTGATGTGAGATTTCTGTTTTTGACCTTTTTTTGCGTTCCGATTTCTCATCAGAGTGCTTTACCTCAGAACCCCTTTTGGATTTACCTTTAGATATCCTCTCAGAGCTGTCAGACTGCTCATACCTGAAGTCATCCTTGACTGTAGTCTCCCCTCCAAACAAAGGGTCTACCAAACTTTGGAGGTCTTGGGGCTCCCCATGCTCAGGTGAACAGGGTTTTGTTTCTTCCAGAGGCTGTTCACCTGTATTACGATTAGAGTTACCAACTACAGCAAATTCAGTATTCTTTTCCACATCAGGCAAGTGTCTTTCAATCTCAACTGCGTCAAATTCATGATCATCTTGCTTCTCATCATACTCACTCTGCACAGGCCTGCCATCAGGAGTTTTCCATGGGACAGGCAAAGTAGAGAACCCTGGTTCGGAGCCTTGCAATTTATGCTTTGGTTCTTTGTCATCTTCACTTGTCATAATATCCACATCCTCATCAGAACCCTCCTTGCTATTAGAAGATGCATCACTTTCACTATCACTACTACTTACACTCCCGCTTCCTCCTGGGCTTTTACTTTTGCTTCTGCTTCTGCTACTGCTAGGACTTCCACTGTCGCTTCCGGTATCACTGCTGTCACTATCACTGTCACTGTCACTTCCGGTATCGCTGGAACTGCCCACTTGAGCTTCAGTATTGTCGGAGCCCCTTCTATCACCAAACAAATCAGGTGAATGCTTTTGGTTATCAATTTTTATCAATGCATTTGGTTCTTCTCCAACTGTAGCATTCAACTGTCCCTGAACCCGTTCTTCCAACTCTTTAGGAGTAACTTTCTCTTCAAAGTGTGGTGCTCGAACAGGCGTTTGATCACGGTTCTCATCATGAGCCGGCGTCTGGCGAAGTTTATCCTCTGGGGAACTGGAAATTAATTACATGCACATTAAAATACATGCAGAAAGAGAGACAGAAACTAGCAGCTTATCAACCACCGAACACA